TACTTCCACTTTTACCAGAGTATTTTTTAACACAAGTATCTGTACTTTTACTCAAGTACGGAAAGTGAGTACTTTTGCCATCTCTGATGAAAAGAGCTGACCCGGTAATTTACTGCATGTGTTAAAGGTGCTCATTGTTGTTTGACCAGGTAATCTGAGTTAATCTGTGTTGTAATCTAAGTGGATAACTGACAGCATTCCTATATAAATAAATATTGGGGATAAATAACTTCCATCTAACCATTTTCTGTCATCTCCAGCAGGGGTGGCGAGGGGTGCTGGTGCCTAGGGCGGGGTATTTTCGCCAAAGTCCTGAATCAATTCAACTTTGATTCATACGGTTCTAAATCGATTAATTTCGATTTGATCTGTTTTTACAACAATGAAAGTGGTTCAACCGTGTTTCAAAATACTCATGTATTTTGTTTTTTCCTGTCACATTAAACACAAAGTGTGAACTTGTAAATCAGACAGACATCGGAGTACCCAGAGAGAACCCACGCATGCTCAGGGAGAACATGCAAACTCCATACAGAAAGACCCCAGGGCTTTTGTTAAAACTTTAACAAACTAAGTATTTATCTAGCACAAACCTAACTAGATATTTAATTTGCAAATCAAATATTTAGTTTATTTAATAAATATTTAACTAAGCATTTATTTAAAAAACTGAGTATTTAGTTTGGAAAATAAATATTTATCTTGCGGACAATTTTTTCAACTAAATATTTAGTTTGGAACATTGATTTTCATAAATGACTGAGTGAAAAAAATAACCCCTTATTTATCACTAAAAAACAGGCTAAAGTTTACAAACAGGCCCCTCATGGTTCTGCTTTAAGCTTAGAACCGGCCTGGGACGTACCACTTTGTTCACAAAGCGGTCATGAATGGTTTCCTCCACAAACAGGCGGCCAGCGGCGATGCAGTTCTCCCCTTTGTTGAAGAACACGGAGCTCATGCCCTGAAATCCAGAGCGGATCTGGGTTAGATCTGCAAACCAAGGAGCCATGATGGAGGAGGCGGCCCCTGCAAAAACGCACCATGCGCACGGCCTTGTCCATGTCACAATCATCGAAGATGATGAGAGGAGATTTCCCTCCCAGCTCCAAGGAGACCTTCTTCACGTTGCTGACTGCACAGCTTTGGATGAGGGGGAGCACAGACAGACGTCAGCTGTTTTCATTAAAAACAAAGAGTTTTTATCCAGGGGCGTCTCTCACCTCTTCATGATGTGTTTACCGATCTCTGTAGAACCCGTAAAGCCCAGTTTCCGGACATCTGGATGGTCGGACAGACGCTGGCCCACCAGGGCACCTAAAGAGAAGGAGAAGCTTCAGGAAAAGGTCTAGTTTTACTTCAGGAGTATGACGAGCGCTCTGAGGGATACCTGATCCAGGCAGGATGTTAACCACCCCTCTGGGCAGCCCCGCTCTGGCTGCCAGTTCAGCAAACTTCAGCGCCGTGAGCGGAGTGACCTGGAAACCAGAGGATCCAAATGAAGGAGACATCTTCAGGATGTCCGCGTGCGTACAGGACTAATCCTACCTGAGCCGGTTTGAGGACCACAGTGTTCCCCGCCGCCAGGCAGGCGGCCGTCTTCCAGGCCAGCATCATCAGTGGGTAGTTCCAGGGAATCACGATGGCGCACACCCTGAGGAAAGCATGGGAGGGGGTTACCTGGGCCGTAATGGTGCACTGATGGGCTGTAACCGATGGTGTAACGACACAATTAGCTCGTAAGCAACATTATCTGGGTGGGCCCCATATGAAGTAGAACACGTGATAAAGGTTCAGGATACGGCAACAGTTCCATAAATCGACCAAGAAGATACAATTATCCAATCCTCTGCAGTATATGATCACACATCACACACAGAAAAGTAGTGACTGCGCACCTTGAATAGAACCATTGGTGACTTCGCACCATCACATGACAAGCCATCATAGCTCCCCTCCTCACCCACCCTCTCTCCATTCATCTCCTGGTCGCCATCTTTTCTCACTGTAGCAGAACGTCCACCTCTCCCTTTTTGGTTCTTTGAAAGAACGTGATTATTTTGTTTATCTTAAAGTTTGCAGACGACACCACGGTGGTGGGCCTCATCAGTGATACCAACAACCGGCGGACTGGAGCAGAGATAACAGCCTGATCCTGAAGGTGGAGAAGACCAAGGAGATGATGGTGGACTCCAGGAAGAAGCGTCCTAACCACGCTCCACTGCTCATCAACAGCTCAGTCTCTTCACTATCAGGAGGGTTGCAGAGGAATATTTCGCACAATTACATCTGCAAAGAGACGTCTTAGTCTACAATTGCGTAGGGGGCCACCAGGTGTCAGTGACGGGGCCCCTAAGAGGTCGGGGGCCCCTAAGAAACTGCAGCCTCTGCTTAACGATAGTTATGCCATTGACTGTAACCATCATATGACAACATAACTGCTGTTTCTGAAAAGCTGCACAGCTACCACCAAGATCTATGCAGCTAGAACCTAGATCTATGCAGCTAGAACCTAGATCTATACAGCTAGAACCTAGACCTATGCAGCTAGAGCCTAGACCTATGCAGCTAGCACCTAGACCTATGCAGCTAGAACCTAGATCTATACAGCTAGAACCTAGATCTATGCAGCTAG